GCCAGAGATATTTCAAATAGCCAGACAGTCAGAGACAAAAGAATAAAAAGAAAAATTCCCTTGCACCTCCAGCATAAAAGAAAAAAATACCAAATTATCTCCAGAAGCTAGCCCCATGACCAGTACATGGTGTTCACTAGCCTAGGTATGAAGAAAATATTGGTTGGATGGAGGATCCAAAGATGGATGGATGGAAGGATGGATAGATGGATGGATGGATGGATGGAGGGAGGGAGGGAGGGAGGGAGGGGAAAAAAGGGAGGAAAAATGAATGAGCAAGCATAAAAATACTCCTACTATTGGAGTATTTTTAGGAAGATATGTCTCCCCACAAAAATGATCAGAAACTGCCATGTCAACAAGTACTAAGTTAGGCTTTGCTCAAGAACAGTGTTTAAGGAACCAGTATTAGCCACAATGTTAAGCTAACCACTGTTAACTTAAAGGAAAACTTTCCACAAAATTACAAAAATTATCCCGTTAGAGGATGGTTAGAAAAGACACCTACCCTGGACTGGCACAGCCAGGACCCAGAGCTTGGATTCCAGGGCCTGCTCACTCCCTCTGTCAGGCACCTCTGTGCAATGCACAGAATGAACATCTGGACTGAGTGCTTTGATTAGTTATATGATGAAGCAAAACAACTTAAGAGATGAATGTAGCTCATGGTTTGCTAGGCCCCCTTCTTCAGCCTCCTGTTGGGTAATCAGGGTATGACAGCCAGTGGCCTAGGTGAATACTCAGAGAGGTGTTATGGCAAAGAGCTAACAGGAAAGAGCCAAAGGAAAGAAATCCTGTGTAATCTTAACCTAGATCAAGGTAAACAACACTTCCATTGCCCAGAGATTTCTCCCCTGCCCCTTTCCAGTCAACACCCACACACAGTTCCCTTGTTAACCACCATTAGGACCTATCATTATATATCAGTGTGTCTGCTCTTTCATAAAATGGAATCATATAGTATGTTCTCTTTTGTGCCTGGCTTCTTTAATTCAACATAATGTGTTTGAAATCAGCCTGTTATAGTAGCAGTAATCATTTCTTTTGCGCTAAGGGAGACATTAAAATGGTCAGATCACATCTGAAAAGATGTCCAAAGTCATTAGTCATCAAGGGAATACAAACTGAAACCACAGTGAGATACCTCTACACACTCAGAGGACTAGCTAAAAACAAGGACTGACAATACCAAGAGTTGACAAGGATATGTAGAAACTAGAACTCCTGTACACCACTTGTAGAAGTGAAAACTAGTAAAATCATTGCAGAAAACTGTTTGGTTTTCTAATAAACATTCACTCTTCTAAGATGCCATAATTTTATCCCTAGATATTTACTCTAGAGAAATTAAAACAAATCCACAAAAATACCTGTACAAGAATGTATATAGTAGCTTTATTTATAAAAACTCCAAGTGGAAACAGCTGAAATGTTCATCAGTAAGAGAATGGATAAATAAATTGGGTATGTCCATTCAATGGGCATGTCACTCAACCCTTTGGGCTTTGGTTTATGGGAAGAGTAATGTTTAAGCCATACACAGAATTGTTAGAATAATGTTGTAAGTGGCCTATAAATATAGGATTTACTTTTGTTTTTGTTGTACATAAATAAGAGAAAGACAAAGGAAACAGGTGGAAGAAACACAGAAACCAACATGCTGTTGGCTGCTAGCTCTTAAACTTCCTTTAATTTCTTTCCCCAAACCCAACTACCATGTCCCTGACCTTCTGCAAGAAGAGTCAGGAAATCAACTCATTTTTGCCAAAACACAAATGGGGTAACCATAAAGTTTGTTTTAGAGTCTTAACTTTCAAGAAAGAGCCAAATTTCCTGCACATGTTTAATGTGTTCAATGCATATTCATTGATAAGAAAAATGACCTTAAAAAATCTTAAAGCATCTACTTCTGCATGCTTCCCATAATCTTTATTCTGTTTTATTATTAAATGACTCACTTTCTGTTCTGTTTTAGACAGGCAAACCAACTCAAAAATTCTTTGGAAACAAGCAGGAAAATAATCACATACACTTATACACACACACACATTCATAGACATGCACATATATTGTCCTCTCTACCCCTGTATACATGGAGATCTTTGTATTTTTAACATCACTGTAAAATAAGCATAATATAAAGAATGAGTCACTGATGGCAAACATGCCAGAATATATACATGATGACTTGTGAGGTTCCTCAAAGTGGAGAGTTTATCTCCTTATTCTGATGATTTTCTTGCTCAAAACAGTTTTTGACCTTTGGAAGGTATGTCATACAAAGAACTGTGAAACTAACAGAGTAGAAAAGCCTGCCCTTGTATATTTGAAGAGCCACGGTGTGAAAGATGGAATGCATTCTTTACCTGCATCTTACATAAAAGGAAACTGACGGCATATTGCTTCTCCACAGTCACACAGCAATATCATGTGATGGCTTGGTGTGGGCCCAGGCAGCCTGCCCTGACCTACTTTACCAATTGCCCTCCTAGGGTAGCATGGGGCAGACTAATGATGATATGTGATAATGCACCCCAGCTGCTCTGGTGGAAGAGTGGGGGTGCAGTGGGTGCTTCAAGGGCAAAGTGCTCGATCAGGTCCTGGTATTGGGGGTCAGAGGTCCTCATGGAGGACCATGGAAGGTGTCAGAAAGGACCTCATGGAAGAGCTGCCATTCACAACAAAAGGGCTTTTAAAAACTAATGCAGCTCTTTGCACACTGGGTTCTTACTTTCTCACCTTTCCCTAAGGTCATTTCAGAGAAATCCAGGTGGGACCTGTAACATGCCATTCCTCAGTCACGTACACTTATCTGGTCCTCAAAGGGCATTTTACCTCTCTCCTGTGGGCAGGGGTGGGGATCTTGAGACACCTTTGGAAAATGGGACTGCTGCAGGGCTGTAAGTGGTCTCTCAATGCCTTCTCCCCTCTGCCTTCCAGACTCCAGAAATCCATTATCAGCTTTTCCTGGTGGTCCAAGGAATGTGTGTGCGCGTGTGTGTGTGTGTGTGTGTGTGTGTGTGTGTGTGTGTGTGTGTGTGTGTGTGTGTGTGTTGGAAGAGAGGCTGAAGTAGGCCGAGGTCTGTGACTATCTCTCCCCCAGCCTCAGAGCCCCCTGAGCCTGTGCACTGGAAGCTGAAGCTGCCTGGCCCCTTTGATCAAGGCCCCATGCTGTGCCTTGTCCCATCATGAATTTCATTCTCTTTCATTTTATTGAGCAGCCTCCCTTCCCACCTCCCACCCCTGAGTCAGGTCTCAGGATTATTGGGTCCCCCTCATTGATTTGTTTTTCTGACCTTTCTAGTAGATACAGAAATCTACAGATGGAACAAGAAAAGAAGGAGGAAAAGGAAGGAGAGGGAGCCTGGGCAGCCTCTGGAAGGGAGGGAGGCTGGTGGGCAGCTTCTGGAAGGGGAGGGAGGCCTGGAAGCCTCTGGAGGGAGGCTGGGCAGGAAGGGAGGGATCCTGGGCAGCCTCTGTAAGGGAGGAAAGTTGCTGAGGGTCTTGGGTCCAGCCACATTTTACAGAAAAGAGGCAAGTGTGTGGCAGCCATCTGGTGCCAAGAAGGGGAAGTTTATGGGGGGCTGGCCACTGAAGACTAGGCTAAGGTCACCAACCGTGTTCCCCCACAAGCTCCAGAGACTGACACTGGACCTCTTCATCTCTATGCATTTGATTTCTGTTGTAAAGTTTCCTGTACCAGCTCTGTGTTTCATTCTTTCAGTGACTACCGACTCCATGTGCAGCTCTGCAGTAGGAGCCAGGTGTGTAGACGCTTTCTTTTCCCTCTCTCCATGAGCCCCTGCTTCCTGTTAAACCCCTGCCCTCCAACCACGCCCACTGGTGCATGGCCCGGCAGCAGCACGGAGAAGGACATGAACATGCGTGGAGCAGCCACTGGCCAGCACCGTGAAAGGTATTTTCTTTGTATTACAGGATGCTGGGCAAGACCTTTCCTGCTGCTCCTAGGACAGAAGTGAGGACCCCAGCAGAGCCTCCAACTGGAAGGCAGTGCCGGCCATGAGCCCTGGGACTCCTCCCAGGGCATGAGTGCCGCTCCCACCTCCGAAGCCAGGTGAGAAGTCCGCGAGAGTCAGCGGTGAAGATTTGGGGTTCCTGCAAGATGGTAAGTCTGAACCCTCAACCCCAGGGATATAGTACATCCACCTGAGTGGGGGACACGCCTGGAGAGGAGGCACGTGGCAGAAGAGGGAAGCTTGGAGCAGCCCATACCACAGCTATTTGGTGAGGCTGATAATGCGAATCCCCAAGAGGTCAAGTGGGCCTCACAGGAAGTGGCCGGGCTCATCTTTCCCATCCTCCACTCAGCTGCGCTGCCTGCCAGGCATAGTGAGCAGGCAGCAGGAGGAGGTGGGGTGGGCGCCCCAGGGAAAGGTGAGTAGATGTGGGAAAGGTGTGTCTCTGCCAGGGAATAAGCACAGGTCCCTTCAAGAGAGCCTAGCCTTGGATTCATGTCACAGAGAATACCCGCAACCAGTCAGTGTTGGCCCAAGGAACACCAGCACCCAACAAGGCGGGCATAATTATGTAAAGAGATACTTGTTCTTGTCCTCTTCCTGCTACCAAGAACCAGGCTCTAAAGAGGGAGTAGATGCCCCAAGCTGCCTGAGGGGAAGGAAGTAATGGAGACAATATTTAAATTGAGCTTGGGAGTTGGCGAGCTCTGTGAACATACAGACCTGGGTACATACAGGCCTGACTTCCAACTGCCACAAACTGCATCTCTTCCTTGCAGGCTTTCCATGGCCACTAAAGGCTTCTCTGCACACAGGTAAGTTCTGGTGAGGAAACATCCTCTAAAAGCAGCCCTCACCACTGATGGAGGGATATTGGCATGAAAATACCCTAGCTCCTTCCTTTGGGTAGAATAACTGTGAGTCACGTGTCCTACACTGTCTCAGTTATCTATTGCTGCAAAAAAATTTACTCCCAAAACATAGCAACTTGAGACAACAGTAAATATTTATTATCTCACAATTTCCATCAGTCAGAAATTCAGAAGAAGCTTGATCTGGTGGCTTTGGCTCCAGGCTGCTCAGGACATTGCAGCCAAGATGCAGTCGAGAGACAGTCAGCTGAAGTCTCGGATGATCTGCTTTCATTCTCATTCTCCTGCCTGTTAAGGCGGTGCTGGCTGTTATCAGGCCGCAAACACAGGTTCATCAATATTTACACTTGCTCAGAGGGCTTCTTAAGTGTCTTCAAGACCTGTGCCTGGCTCCCCGAGGGTTTTAACCCAAGAGAAAGAGTCCAAAGTGAGACCGGCAAAGGGTTTGTGACCTAGACTCAAGTCAGATGCTCTGTTATCTACAGCTACATAACAGCTCACCCCAAAACTCAGCAGCTTTAAAGAAAGATATTGACTCACAATTTCTATTGGTCAGAAATCTGGGCACAGCTTAGCTGGTTTCCTCTTGGTGCCTGTGACTCAGAATCTCCTCAAGATTGTAGCCAGGGCTGCAGGGGTCTCAGGGCTCAACCAGGCTAAGATCCGCAACCAGGCGAGCTCACATGGCTATTGGCAGACCTCAGGGCCTCAGGGGCTATAGGCTGGAGACCCCGGTTCCTCTCCATGTGGGCTTCTCCATAGGGTAGCTGGCTTTTCCTCAGAGCCTGAGAAGAGCATGGGAACACAGCAAGGCAAAAGCAGAGTCTCTTTGGGACATCCATCATCTTTGTCGTATTCTATTGTTCAGAACCGAGTCACTTCTTATTGGGTGTAAGTGGCCCATAATCTAGGGAAGAGATTACATAAGGACATGAACACCAGGAGGTAGAGAGAACTGGGGACATCTCAGAGGCTGCCTACCATAGACAGCATCACTTAAGCCACAATCTTCTGGACCCACAGACCACACACAAAGTTCAGAACTGGAATGAATTACACAGGGGTGTAGATACCAGGAGGTGAGGATTTCTGGGGGCCAACTTGGAGCTGACTGCCACAAAGATGGTTTCCAGAGTTGCCCCATGAGGTTACAGCTGTTGACAATGCCCTCCCTGATGTCTTCCTTCCTTTCCCTCACTCACTTCCCACTCCCCTACTGGTCTTCCCTGCCATCAGCTCCCAAATAAACCATTTGCATGTGAGTCCTTACGGCAGGGTCTACTTCTGAGAAAACCCAGACTAAGACAAAGAGTGAAGCTTTAAAGTTCGCTTATGGAATTGTGTGTGTGTGTGTGTGTAACTGATGCAAAATTCATTTCTCCCTGGGACACAGCAAAACTTTTGAGAGCCATTGGAGTAAGCACTACAGGATTTCAGGGTACAAGTGGTTTCATTTAACCCTGATGAAATCTAGAAAGACTAGGCCTCAGAGGAGATTCAAATGGAACAGAGAGAAGGCAAAGAAATGAGAACTTGGAAAGCACATTGTGCATCCAGAAACAATGACTTGTAAAACAGCTGTTATTTCTTAATTCCCCAGGTGTTTCTTGGAGTTACATTGTTATTTCTACCTGCTGTCACCTTACTTCAGTGTGTCAAGGTGCTTGTATTCTTCCTGAGTTCCAGCCAAGCCTCATGCCCAGAAAATATTTCATACTTTCACGAGAGAGAATTGCTCTGTCACCAAACTGTAGAGATGAAATGCAAAACTTCATAGTATTGATGCCAGGGTTCTTGTTCACAGAGCCAAAGAATGGAACTTTTCAAATAGTCAAGGTAGGTGAACAAGCAAGGCAGAGGCTTTTATTTAGAGAGAAAGTGAGAGGACAGAGCTCCTGGCCCAGGCCAGAGGGGACAGGAGAGCCACCCACGAGGTGCATTTTCAAAGGGCTAGCTAGGGATGTACACCTGCTTAGTGGCCCCAAAATGTTTTCCTTTGAAGAAACACTAAGTTTTTTATTAGTCTTCCTGGTTATTTACAAGAATTTTACTGCTCTGATTTCCTCCCAGGAGAGCAGCTTCCTGGTCTGGGAGCATATCACTCAAGACTGCCTGCTTTGCTCCCAAGGTGGGCTGAGTTATTGTCTATTCATTAAGAAACTCACTTTTTAACTATTTGGGTTTTAAGATGGAATCCTTCCTGTTTTTACTACGTTGTTTTGGGCTTGCTTACTACATTGCCCAAGTTGCAATAAACCATTCGTTTAGGGCTTGAGGAAGAAAAGCAGCACCTGGGTAAAGTTAGAAAAATAAACTGGGCCCCCCAGCAGGCCAAAGCAAATACCACAATGGATTATCTTGGTTGGTTTTTCCAGAGGCTCTCACCCTACTCTGTCTATGTCCATGGTATCTGTCTCATTCCCCCTCTACAGATGGAGACCCTAGCTGCTGCTAGGGAAAGGGGGGCGATGACCACTCTGGCTGCTTCATGATGAGAGGGGGCACAGTTAGGGGTACAGTTAGGTCTCCATCAGTGGTCAGGAGGGCCTCAGAAAGGGCCTCAGAAAATAGGTGCTTCCATCCTGGGTTCTATTTCCATCACCGTTTGCAGTTCTTATGGCTTCCAGGCAAGATAGAACAAATCATGTTATTATGTTAAGTAGCAACATCTGGAGTTGGATTTTCCGTTCTGGAAGAACAGACTTGACAAGGCGATTAGAGAATGCATGGCTGAATATGAGGATTAGAAATAGTAAATCTCTAGTTGAGAATCATAGCTAGATATCTTGAGGAAACTAGAATTCTGGATCTACTCTATGTCCCAATAACTAGTATTAGGACTCAATAAAGATAAGGCTGCATTATTGAAATAACTCTTTTCTCTAAAATCACCCTCTTTTTTATTAGAAGTAACCAGATTAAGAAAATAATTAACCCTTGGCTTGATTATTTGCATAAATGCAGCAAGAAGAGCAATTGATTACACAGGCTCTTTTAAATGTGCTTTGCTGAAACTTTTTGTAAGGAATTTCAGATTGAACTTTTAAAGGCCTCTCAAGGCCAGGAAGCCAAGCCACACTTACTATCAGGTTTTGCCTGCAGAACCTGTAGATTTGGGTGAATTCCTTTCTTCTTGAGGTCCCCAAGGCATTCTGAGGTTCCTGCACCTGCCAGGAAGTGACCTTCCTTACTCACCTGGCAAGGCTGCTGGGAACCCTGTAAGCAAGGTACCAGACCAGTTCTTCCAAGGGGCTTTGTTGGCTTTAAAGTCAACCTTAGTTCCTCAAAGCTGTCTGTTCATATCTGAGTTTATGCATGTGTCTCTCAGATATGACGTTCCAGTCAAAGCCTTGGTAACATAACCAGTGTTTGTAATTGGTCCTGTTACAAGGAAAGCAGATTCTTACTGAGCTTACCGAAATAAACATACTGCCATGGAATATAAAAGTAGTCACTGAGAGGTTTTAAATTCTGGAGGGATCAGGTAGAGATAAAAACAATGTTTCGATTCTGCTTACAAAGGTATTGTCATTTACTAAACTGTTGTCAGCTTAACAGAAAAAGCTTAAACACTTTATCAGCAACATTTGAAATAAAAAGTCATAAAATAATTTTCTTTAGTTTACTTAATCTTATGCAACCAATATTTTCTCTGTTAGAATCTAGTTCTTCACCAGTTTAGGATTAATCAAACAGTGACTATAAATGACAAAAGACTTACAAATGACAATGCTTAAAGATCTGATGAGAGCTTACTATAAGACACTTGACATAAGGAAATTTATTTATGAAACATAAAACAGTCAGTAACAAAATTTAGCATCATTCTCTTTGACAGTGCTTTATATATCAGATAAACAAGCCAAATTAGCCAAATATTTTCTTTGATGAGAAAAAAAAAATTCTTCTGACATGTTCCAGGGCCCTCTGGAAAATATCAGAGTGAACTAGAGCTAAAAAGCACTTTTTTGAATTTGATTTTGGGAAGCTGTCAGAAAGTTTTTAAGGCACTTGCTTAAATAGCCTAAATAGAATCATAAGCCACTATGAAATAATACTTATCTATTTAACCAGAATGACAATAAAAGATTTTAAAGGCAAATACAGAAGGCTACACAGTTGTTAGCAAAACTTAGCTTTTAGTCCTTTTAATAGTAAAATCTCATTTTCTTAAATACTCAGACAACTCATTGAGACTTTAAGCATGAGAAACTGCTTTGATAAAACAATTAGAAAGCTCTTTGCAATGTTTCAATATTAAGAGCAGACTAACACCCCTCCTGTGAGTCTGTTATTCATCATCCCCTCAACACCCAAACTTTTGGGGACCCCCATGCCATCTTGCACTTACTGAAAAAATGCTTGTTACCATTCTTACGCCGCATCATTTGAGTGGGTGTC